TTACCGTCTTGTATGAGCCATCCTTTGTGGATCGGAATGTCTAGGGAAGACTAGAATTTCCGAACACATAATATATGGACGTGCAAGATTGGATGAGGGCTGGTTCTCACCGGCATACCCCCATGTGGGAAGATTAGGTTGGCTAGGTCAACCTAATAATTAGAGAATGGCACATTAAAAGACTTAAAACCTGGAAGAGGGGCCTTGGAAGAAGGGTGTTGCCTGGAAGAAGGCTGGACCTTGGAAAGGGTTCACGATCATAGGACATGGTCAAAATCTCCAAAGATGGGTCAGGTCTTGATGTTGAGACTTGAAGTAAAAACTATTTCGAAATATTCATTCGAAATTTGATCAAGGTCGGTGTTGAAAATGACATGCAGGCCAGATGGATATAAGAAAAAGGGCATGATCGAAAAGTGACCGGTCACTTTTTTAACGTTCTAGATTGACAGAAAAAGACGAACGGAAAATTTTAAAATTGACCGGTCAACTTTGAAAAAAGTGACCGGTCACTTTTTAATTTTCGGATTTGATGAAATCAGACAAGTTTGGAAAAACTTATTTTTGACCGATCACATTTTGACCCGGCACTTGGACAGAAATTTGAGGCAAGACTGGTGACGTTACATGACCAAACCATTGGGATTGGACCAGGACGAAATTCAACCTAGACGTCTACTACATTTCGACCTGGAAGTAAACCGGATCAGAAGACAAGTCGAGCACAAGGTGACCTGGATATTTTCAAGTCTGGAGACCAGGACATGAGATGACCTGGACGTTCTTAAAATGTTTCTTAAGGGCATGAAATGACCTGGACGTTTTCAAGACATGCACTTGACCAGGACATAAGATGACCCGGACGTTTTCAAGACTTGCACTTGACCAAGACATGAGATGACCCGGACGTTTTCAAGATTTGCACTTGACCAGGACATGAGATGACCCGGACGTTTTCAAGACTTGCACTTGACCAGGACATGAGATGACCCAGATGTTTTCAAGACTTGCATTTGACCAGGACATGAAATGACCTGGACGTTTTCAAGACTTGCACTTGACCAGGACATGATATAACCCGGACGTTCTCAGGACTTGCACAAAGTGCCCTGGTCGCTTTAAGGAGTTGATGAGAATAAAAGTTTAGACCAGGACGTTTCCAGGACCTACTAGACCCGGGTGTCCTTCAAAAGTTTCAACGAAGCCTACTAGACCTGGATGTTTTCAAGACCAGGGCATGAGATGACCGAGACATTCTAAAAAGAATTCCTAAGAGAGGGCCAAGCAAGAAAACAACCATGCAAGTCTAGTCAGGCAATTTCAAATGAGGACCAAGCAAGAAAACAACCATGCAAGTCTAACCAGTCAACTTTAAAGGGGGACCAGGAAGGAAAATAACCATGCAAAAAATTTAACCATTCAAGAAGTTCAACCAAGCACAAAGGAATGGGACCAGACCATGAAAGCCTCCTTAATTGGTGACCCTTCCACCCTTGGGACGGGCCGGAAAGAAGAGTGGCCAACATCTTTGTCAGGGAGCTGGACTGGAACCTTGGGTGACTTAACCCCCTCACTCCGTAGGTGCTTTTGGAAGGGTGTGCACCGGGCACTTGACCGGGTACTCTAGGAGGACTAGGAGGACTTACATGGTAGAAGTCTAAAAAAAAGTAGACCGGATAATTCTTTAGAGTTAACATTTGGATTTCCTAATAATTCAAAAGTGAGAGGTCAAAGAGGAAGACTTCACGATTTCAAAAGTGACAGGTCCAAGAGGAAGACTTGACGATTTCAAAAGTGAGAGGTCAAAGAGGAAGACTTCACGATTTCAAAAGTGACAGGTCCAAGAGGAAGACTTGACGATTTCAAAAGTGAGAGGTTAAAGAGGAAGACTTGACGATTTCAAAAGTGACAGGTGAAAGAGGAAGACTTGATGGTTTCAAAAGTGGCAGGTCCGAGAGGAAGGCTTGATAATCTCAAAAGTGACAGGTCTGAGAGGAGGACTTTATGATTACAAAAGTGACAGGTCCAAGAGGAAGGCTTGATAATTTCAAAAGTGACATGTCTGATGATTTCCAAAGTGCCAGGTCTGATGATCTCCAAAGTGCCAGGTCTGACAATCTCCAAAATGCCAGGTGTGATGAACCCCAAAGCGCCAGATCTGATGAACTCCAAAGTGATACGTGTGATGATCCGCAAAGTGCCAGGTCTGAGGAGCCCCAAAGTGCCAGGTTAGAAGAAATAAATGATACCCAAAACCTCATTTTCGGTCAAGGGAAAGGCTTGATTATTTCAAGAAAGGATAGGTCAAGAGAAAGGCTGGATTATTTCAAAGAAGGACATGTCATGGTAATGACTTGATGATTTCAAAGAAGGACAGGTCATGGGAAATATTTGATGATTTCAAAGAGGGTGAGGTCATGGGAATGGCTTGAGGATTTCAAACAAGGACATGTCATGGGAATGGCTTGATGATTTCAAAAAAGGACAGGTCATGGGAATGACTTGATGATTTCAAAGAAGGACAGATCATGAGAATGACTTGATGATTTTAAAAGGACAGGTCATGTGAGGGACTTGGTGATTCAAAAGGGCAGGTCATGAGAGAGACCTGGTGATTCAAAAGGACAGGTCATGAGAGAAGACTTGTTGAATTCAAAGGTGATGGGTTAACATAAGTATACTTCCCGCCCTTGATGACTTCCTCACAAGGCCGGTAAGTGGAGGACTTCTTGATGGGTATATCCCTATACCCGACCCGGACAACCGAAAGGGACAGGTCAAAATATGACCGGTCACTTTTATCAATCACCAAATGAGGTTAACTCTTCGATTATTCTCTGAGAATCACCCTCACCCTCCGTCTTTTTTTCTCTTTTAAGTCCTTCCCGGGAAAGA